TGTAAATACTGTGCGGTTTCTCGCACAAACCGATCGTTTCGTGTCTTAGGACATCAATGTGTCGTCACGAGCCGCAGGGTTTAATTTGGATTTGTCTGTGCATGTTTTTTTTACTCTCATAGATTTTGTTACCATTGCCATGCATTATATGACTGATAGACTGCAACGGTTGGAGTTAAAAAAATCATAATTTGTGTTCTACTGAAGAAACAAAGTCACCTACATCTTGGATGCCCTGGAGGTAAGCAGATAAATATCAAATTTTCATTTTTGGGTGAACTATCCCTTTAAGTTAGAGACTGGTTCATTAATCTTTTCCACTGATTCATTAAAAAGAATAAATTCTTAAGAGTCACTCTTAGTGATTTGGACATCATGCTGCCTTTGATTATGTGTGCAGGAATCACTTGTAAACACCGTAATGATATTATATCTAACAAATACTAACTTATTTATTTTGAAATTCTTTGTCTTTGTTTTGAAATACTGTCTTAAAATAACTTTTACTTATTAATACAATACACAATACAAAGCACATAAACTACTTTTATTGGACTGTTGTGGAATAATAATAACATTTTGACCTGTGTATACTGTATTTCTAGGGACACTGCACTTACTTCTAGAAGCTTCTTCACATCCCACACACCGTCCTTTCTTCCTAATGGGCTGCCATCCATGTTGTAATGAATCTCTCCTTGGGCAACTTTTGTGGGCTCCTTGTTTATGATTATCTGTGGGATTTATATACAACTTAGACGGCAAGATAACACTCACAGATCAAAAACTTGGACTCACTGAACAATGAAATGAAGCTGAAAAAAAAAGCATTGAGCACATGAACTCCACTGTAATGATGGAAAAAGCATGAAATACATTTAGTCAAAGTGTCAGTTAGAGGAAAGCCACTTTTGAGAAAGTCCAACGTTGAGTTGCACCTGGAGTTTGCTACAAGCCATGTGATAAAATCTGGAAACTTTTGTGGTCTGTTGAAACTAACATTAAGCTCTTTGTATTAGAGTTGAGTCTGCAGCTATGATCTGTTTGACTTCAGAGTCATCTGTTCTACTAGTGATCAAGAGTGAAAAAAGCAGGATTGTTTTGGGACATTTCTTTAAACCCATATGACTTTCTTCTGTGGAACACAAAAGGAGGTGTTTTGAATAATGTTCTGGTTGACTTTCCCATACAGTTAAAATGAATGGACAATTGAGCTTTCAAGCTTTAAGGAGGATGCAAAAGCATCATAAAAGTGGTTCATATGACTTGTGTGATGTATTGCAACTCGTCTGAAGCCATGTGAGAGCTTTGTGTGAGGAACAGTAGTCATACATTTACAAAGTTTTTCAGAATTCAAGTCATTATTCACTGATAACCGTCAACGCTCATCATCAGTTAATGAGTTTTAATCAAGAACTGTATCACTGATTTTTCAATGAATAATTCAGAGCGCTTTAATGAGCCATTTCAGTGATCCATTCAAAAGACCCTATTTTACAAATCAGACATTATTACTTCTCTCATGAACATTTCATTGGTAGTTTGAAAGGATATCAAGTAGGGATGTAACAATATCAAAATCTCATGATATGATAATATCGCGACATGAAGTCCACGATACGATATTTATTGAGATATTTTAAAAATGACAAATGAAGAACTGGAAGAAAAATTAAAATTTTGTACATTTTAAAGTTAAATTCTTCTGTATAATGCACTATGATAGTTCAAAATTAAGAGCTCCAACCCATGTTCTTAACTAAGAAAACTTAAGTCAGAAAAAAGTCAGTGAATTGACTTGTACCTGAATTATAAAGGGTACTCCACCCTCTTTTTATTTGTGATATATCGTCTCAGTCTAAATTACATTCACACTGATGTTTTAGGAAGCCAAACAAATTAGAATAATAATAATAGTAATAACAACAATGACAGTAATAGCCATATATTGTAAAACAATTGCACTGTAAAATAAATGAAAATGAAAATTTCATAGGTATATCATTTTTGCTTTACACTACAGTAGGGAAATTACAATACTTCTTTCCCAATTTCTACACTTGAAAGAGATATTTTGAATTTGGACTGCAATAACATTACCCATTTAAACCGCTAGCTGTCAGCAATTCATACTGCACTTTTAAGCTTTTATTTGGATGGAAACTGCAGTAGAGCTTTTATTTTGAAGGAAAACTCCAGCTTCAGCGAAAACATGCTTACAAAAACGTGTCTCACTACAAATCTAGTGAAATGCTGTAACTATCTGCCACGAAAATAAAGCCTAACTGGTGGCTGTTGCATTCCCAAACGCACACTAAACTCACAGCACATGCAATAAATGAGTTCACTGCATTCATTCACTGTGAAGGGAGCCGTTCTGAAGCGCGGATAACATCGAATCAACAGCTGATCGCGTGAACAAAGTACTTTGAAACGTGCAGCGAAAACAGACTTCATGAAAGGATTAAGCCATATTGAATAAATAAATAATAAAAGCCATATTGTGCTTTCGGTTTTAGTTCGTTTGACAGATACTGTAGCATAATGGCCCAAAACACAACTTTAAAGACATTTTATGTTAGAATAAGAAGTTTAAATGTATTTTAAAAATGACACTTTTTGCCCGGAAAACCTATTGTTTCATATCGTCATGTGACCACGATAATATCGAGATAGTGTTGCTAATATTGATAATATCGTTAGATATTAATAAAACCATTTTTAGCTGGTGAAAATACTAGTGTTCGAATAATTTTGGCCACCAATGTAACTAAAAGGGTAATAAAGCTAACACAAATAAAGTGCTAACACTGCTTCTAAAATACAAGTGTGAAAAGTACCATTACCCAGAGTTAAAAGCTGGATTTAGAATGTCAATAACCCAGGGTTAAACACAGTGTGAAAACTCTTAAGAAAATAAAACTCATCTACTGAAATAAGAAAGCTAAATTATAATGAGAACAGAGAAGGATGATCCTGACCTGCTGAATCTGCACACCGTAGCCTTTAAAATCCTCATCCCAAGATGTGTTTCTGTATATATCATCCACTCTGTCTATCAGCTCAATCTGAAAGACACAAAACACACAAATTCAATACATTTTTTATCTGATATCATGGTGTTTATATGCAACAAACTGCTCTGTTGTATACTACAAGTTCAGTGATGGCTCTCTTTTCCGGTTACCTTTAGTGTGTTTCATTTGCATTGCTCACCAAGTAGTTGAGGGTGGTGCTCTCCTCTCCACGGCCCATGTGCTTGTAGAAGCGATGATCTGCCACTAGCAGCAGCGGGCAGGTGTTCTTCTTGTGGTCGTGTGCAGATCTTCTCTCTATGTTGTGAGGCTCTGCATTCAAGAAATAAAAGCATCTAAACATGCTGCACCATCAAATTAAAACGAATCCACCAAATAATTATTTCTAATTACTCAGTTCCAAAGCATCAACATCCATAAATGGATCTACACAATTTAAAGCAACACAATGGGGGACTTCCATGACTATGATAATGGAGGACAAAGAATGAAGTTACTGAATTTAATTATTATGCATTGTCTCCAGACTATGTTCAGTTCTCATAGCAGGAGGTCACTGCCGGGTGACTACATGCTTCAATGGGCGGCCTTTGTCAGACTGATGTATAACTCCTACACACACTCATGCAGTAACCATCTCGCTCATCATGAGCATGTGATGAAAGCTGAATATCTATTGTGTGTTTAGGCTGCTATTATAATTAAATGTCTGTCTCAAAATTACTGAAAAACAAAATGACCTTTAAAGACAACATTTTACAATTAAACTAGATTCCATACAGTCTGAGAGTTCATTTGGTGGTTTAAAAAAATAAAATAATTTTATATATAACTGCAGGGAATTCAAATAAATTCCTGTTCGTCAAATTTACAGTTAAAAATGGTCTTCTGCCACCTGAAAAAGTTTCAGAACCTCATAAAAAAAAGGAAATGGGGTTAATTTTGAGAACTTGTCTGATAACCAGTCTCCAATATTAAATGACCCAAAGTCCTCTGTGGCACCGTTCCATACATAGGTAAATACACACCCTCCTCCTGTTCCGTCTGTCCCGCTGCTCTTGCCTCTTCTGGCAGGAGCTCCTGAGCATCAGCGTTCACATATCCACACACTTTGGGTGAGGACAGTTGACTGATGTTCTTAATGTCCTCTGAACGATACACCAGCAAACGGCCATCAGATGGCGACTCTGTAAACCTCCACAAGGGCTAAACGAAGACAAGATATACTGAAACATTCAGTAAAAATGCATACTGTAAAATTAATATTGAATGCTTTCAAGTATTAAGCATTTTGAACAAATTACCTCTACATTATATTCAGCTTCTTCAGTAAGAATGTGGGCTGAAAACTCCTCCCCGTCTATGTGCGCCTGCACACGCGAGTGCTCCTCTCCTGTTGAGATAGCAAACAACGATATGTCGATGTATGATAATATATAACAGATGGAAAAACAAGAAAATTCAGTTCTTAGCCAAGGCTGATGTTCTCATCCTATGTCTTACCCACTACGTGTCCTTTATAGTAGTTCTGTAACTGAATGTCAAATTGGTCCTCTTTTCCATTCTTGTCTAAGAATACAGCCTTGAAGTTGTCAGTGAAAAGGTCTGTGTTGGTTGTCAAGTACAGCTTGAAGTGCCTTTGAAAAGAGATTTTGAAAAGAGAATCCAAGATGTTTTTATTTTAGTGAAACTCAAAAGGAAGAACAAGCCTCTAATCGTGATCTCTTCAGGTCAGAGGTTTAGAGAAGAATAGCATAAACACTGTAACTCTCTAAAAAAAAAAAACCCTGCAAAATGAATGAATGAATGAATGAATGGATGGATGGATGGATGGATGGACATAAATAAAAAATATATAATACATTAAACAAATAAATAAAAATATGCTGAAAAATAACTACATAATATAATTATTCTTATTATAGAAACCAGGGAGGTCAGAAAAGAATAACACTAACAAAAAAAAAATAGCAATTAATATAAAACAGAATAAATAAAGATAAGAAATTATATATTATATTCTTTAGGGCTGTCGCGATTCGTCGATTTTATCCGACTATTCGATTTTGGCTGCATCAACACTACTGCTGTTCCTGAAACCATGCCTTCTTTCTTTGCGTGAACATTTGGGCGGCATTATGCAAATATTCCCACATAGTGAGGTAGATATGTGGGGGCGTGTTAGAACGAGCCGTTTTAGGGGGGCGTGGCAGAGTCTTAACTTTGATAAAGAATATCTCTTTGGTTTTGAGACTTTAGTCTTTGCAACTTCAGGGATCTTATCTATGCACAATCAGCTTGTAACACTCCAAAGAGAAAGGAAAACTTGAAATCGCATCATATGACCCCTTTAAATCAAGGAGGGACAAAGAAGAATAACAAACAATAAATGAATAGATTAAGTATTTTCTAATAAAATAAATAATTTAATCATAAATAATTTTAAAATGAAAAAGTCATGAACATCACGTGATCTGCCTTTAGCAGCCTCTTGGCGACTTAGTCTCCTTATTTAGTGCCTTTCACTGTGTTATAGAGTGCTGTGTGTTGATCTGTCAGCTTTACCTCTGGAGTGCTGTGAAACTGACCAGCCGCTCCACATGTGATCGGGCATCAACGTCCCTCTTCCTGACCGAGTGAAGCTGGAGATCTGATGCAGGCACCACATCGAAGTCTGACAGTATGGAGCTGAGCGCATCTGGATGAAGTAAAGCACATATATTTCATTACTCCTACATAATACCACTATTATCCACACACACCATTTAAACTTCTCAAATCCCAAAACAATATCTAAAGATTAAATATTATTAAATATAACAATTAAATATTTTGGTCAGTACTACATACTACTGTACAACCATACAGTGACCCAAACAGTTTCCACTGCAAGAGAATTATATGTAAATGTATTTTCCATTCAAACTGCAATTAAATTGCAAATGCAGCAGCTTCCATGTTGGAGGAAATGAACTAAGATAAGCTGTCATGACTGAGTCAAAACAGGAAAAGGACGCAAGACTGAACTCACCAATCCAGACAACCCCCAAATATCCCCCGATATTTTGGTATATTTAGTTTTATATCTAATTTCCTCGTTGAGCCCATTTGAACTGCTTTCTCAGAGTAACGTTAACTTACCAAACTCTTGTACCTCTTCCTGATTTCTGAGGTCTTCTTCAACAGATGCTGGTTTCACCGCACAATGGATAGAAAGTGGAGCTAATAGCACTAAATAAAACATCAAAGACTCCATACTGGCGACGAAGCATCACTTCTGTCAAAGCACCATGTCTGGATGTGAAGTCCGTAGCTGTCAACATCTACTGTCAGTTATTTACCAACATTCACGACCACCTTCTGTTCGCTTATTGAACACGACGACGACAGAGGGATTTAAATATCAAAATTCACAGGATGGGAACCCGTTGAATGCTAAATGTCCATAAATACGAGACAATACACCGCGAACAGCCACAGCGTTCAGCTGCTCTGACACTGGCTCCTCCACATTCGCGCTGGATTCTGCTGCGATAACAATCTGAGGAGGAATTCCGCCGACTCTACTTCCGGGCAACGATTGAATTCCCCGGAAGAAGGAACTCTTCTTCTTCTTTAGTTTTTTGGCGCATAACAATGTCTAAATGTAGCAAAGGATTTTTGGAAAGAAATATCTTGGCTTGTTTTCTCAGCTTACAACAAACTTTTTAGTTTTGAGGTAATTAATGCACTATTTTTAATTTGGGAATCAGGATCAAAGGAGCTGGATGATATCTTAAAACTGTTAACTCTTTGTGGCCTATTTCATCTTCACAAATGTAAAGTTACAATAAATGATATGGGACAATATTGAAAATACTCATTTGATTTTTTTTAAAGTTTTTAAGCCAATTAATTTTTAAAATTTGGTTGGAAATTGTAAAATTAAGAACATTTAACCCACCATCAGACAGTTTATTAACAAGGACACTTTTTTTATTTTATGAGGCTTGTTTCTCCAGATGAAATTAAAGAGTATTTTAACCATTTGTGAGCATATAACCTTTGGGGCACTAAGTGAAGACAGGAGGTATGCTGCTCTCGAAAGACCTTCTGCTTTACTTAATAAAATTCTTCCTTGAATAGAAAGATCTCTCGACAACCATGAATTATACCTCTTTTGCATTTTTTTCGATAACAGGTATAAAATTTGAGGTGACCATTGCATCAGTATTTTTAGAGATTTTGATTCCCAAATAGTTTACCATGCTTTTAACAGGAATATTACATACAGTGGATAGGTTCACGCTTAGATAGATTTCAATTCAATCCAGAGAATTTTGAAAAATTATTAATGATATTCAACCTAAAATGTATGCTAATTGTAAGATTGTAATTGTAAAAAAACGTTTGTCAAAAAAGGAGAGACCATTTACAAAAAGTTGGAGATTTTGTAGGCTTGTATTATTAATATTTACATCAGAGAATTTGGTTAAAATTAGTATGCCGCTAGGCATAGCCTTGATTACTTTGTTAAATTCTTTTTCATTTACAAAAAAGCCATATTTTGTAATAAAATTAGGGTAAGTGTATAATTGCCCATTCTTGTCAATAAGCTGGTTTACAATTAATATGTTATGCCGAACCCAATTCTCCATATACAATGACTTGTTATTATGAGTGATATTACCATTGTTCCATATAAAACACCTGCTAGGAGAAAAATTGTGTTTGTACAAAAGTGACCAGTAAAGTAATGCTTGTTTGTGATAATTGGCCAAAGCAATGGGAAGTTTGCCAGTTATATAAGGACACTGCAACAAAAAATTTAATCCCCCAAGTTTTTCAAATGAATGATATGGGACAATATTGAAAATACTTGTTTGATTTTAAAAAAAATGTTTTTAAGCCAATTAATTTTTAAAATTTGGTTGAAAATTGTAAAATTAAGAACATTTAACCCACCATCAGATAGTTTATTAACAAGGACACTTTTTTTTATTTTATGAGGCTTGTTTCTCCAGATGAAATTAAAGAGTATTTTATCCATTTGTGAGCATATAACCTTTGGGGCACTAAGTGAAGACAGGAGGTATGCTGCTCTCGAAAGACCTTCTGCTTTACTTAATAAAATTCTTCCTTGAATAGAAAGATCTCTCGCCAACCATGAATTATACCTCTTTTGCATTTTTTCGATAACAGGTATAAAATTTGAGTTGACCATTGCATCAGTATTTTTAGAGATTTTGATTCCCAAATAGTTTACCATGCTTTTAACAGGAATATTACATACAGTGGATAGGTTGTTATTTTTAAGCTGTAGGATCTCACACTTAGACAGATTTAAATTCAATCCAGAGAATTTTGAAAAATTATTAATGATATTCAAAGCCAGAGGTACCTCAGAACTATCACTAAGAACAATTGTCGTGTCATCAGCAAGTTGCGATATTTTAATTTGTCTTTCATGAACTGCAGTACCTTTGAAAGAATGTTGATTTATCATATTACCGTACTTAAAACTTGAGCTACGACCAAGAAAAGGAATGCAGAAATTGAACAACCTTGTCGGATGCCTCGATTTATTTCAAATCTAGGAGATGTTCCATTGGCAAGTTTAATAGAACTATTGCTACCACAGTACATAGTTCTTACACTTTTGATGAAATATAGTCCGAAACCAAAGAGTTTTAATTAATCAAATATAAAATTATGGCTTACTGTATCAAAAGCTTTTCTAAAATCCAGAAAAAGTATTAAAGGGTCTCCATTTAATAAATTACTATACTGCACTAAATCAATAACTAAACGAATATTAGAGGAAATGTGGCGACCTTTCATGAATCCACATTGAGTTTCATCAATTATCTAATTTAATGCATTTTTCATACGTTTTGCAAAAATTGATGCCCTTATTTTATAATCATTATTTAGCAATGAGATAGGTCGCCAATTTTCTAATAAACGGATATATTTTTGACGTTTAGGGATCAAGGTGATAACACCTTGTTTAAGTGATGTAGGTAAGGTTTCTTTGTTGATGGCCTCTTCGTATACCGCTAACATGAATTTAGATATATCATTTATAAAAAACTTTATACAATTCTGATGTAAGCCCATCATTTCCAGGGGGTTTGTTGTTTTTAAGAGCTTTTATACAGAATTCAATTTCATTTAGAGAAAGGACTTGAGAACACTATGTTTTACTTTGTAAAGACAACGTTTTTGGACTTTTTATTGTTTTAAAAAGAATGACATGGTCTTGATCCTCTCCTAAAGAATAAATATCTGCGTAATATTTAGAAACAAATTCAGAAATCATGCCTAGGTCCTCAGTACCAGTGCTGTTCATTTTCAATTTTCTAATTAAGTTTATTTCTTCATTCCTGAATTCCCCGGAAGAAGGAACTCTTATTCTGTATTTTCTTTTTCTTTTCAAATGTACTACCGGTGTTGTGCTGAGATTTTTTTAAACTGACCACGATAAACAAAATTTCATACGTGCAAATAAAAAAATAAAATTAATCCTCCAATAACTCTCTTAATTTACTGTAGTAAAAACTATTTAATTTAGAGTGTGTATACAGCTAAACAGTTTTTGCATTAAAATTTAAAATTAATAATTTTGTTATCTGTGAGAATTAGAGTAGGCATGCAGCTATTTTTTATTTTTTATAAATATAAAACATTTGAACAAAACCGAGCAGTTTAACTGTGAAATTACTAAACTAAAAAAGAGTGAAATTGTTACTTAAATATATTTGGCAAACATTTTATTTTTCAGCACATCATGAAATTACATAATACAACATTTTTGAATCCATGTTTTAATGATATATTTTTCAACAGTGGTCTATTAAACAGTTCCCTTGACATTTGAAACAAAATGCAGACATAACCAAAATAATAGGGGGAAAAATGCTGAAGATACATTGTAATATCACAGTGTTGGTGGCACAGACAATACAAGTAAATATGTTGTATTTTTGTAATTGTATTTCTTTTTTTATCTTTGAGACTTCACATACATGCAATTTTACATAAAACTGTGGAATTTGGTTCTGAATCACAAAGAATAAAACACTTACTTTATGATGTATCAAAAACAAACAGCTGACACATAAAAAAAGGCCATCTAAGGAAGAGTAAAAGGCTAAACCAGTTTTAAAAGCAATGGCAAGGAGCACTGACAAGGTCCCTAAAAATACAAAGGGTACAAGTCAAAACATGTAAAATAATAATACCTGAAATAGGCAAATGTCAAAAGTGAAAGACAGACATCAATACAAACAGACCACTGTTGAGAAAAAGACAAAACAAGACATGCTTTCCAAATTCTTGCTCTAACTCCAAACTATAAGAGCTTACAGGAGTTTCATCTGGAAATATAAAAACCAGTCTGCAAGGCTACGTTTTGTGCAACAGGCAAATTCCTACAAACAGGAACGATACCGTTTTTGGCTGTTTGCAAGATCTATAGTGTACGTCAAGGAGTATTTCCCAGTTTACATGTAAAGCCACAATTATTTCTAAATTGATGTAGAAACAAACAGAGTTTCAAACGGGAACATGACGCAACCCAAACGAAGAGAACAAAAACAGCACTTGACTGAATGAACAGGCAAAGTGCCAATTCAATAACCCTGAATTAAAGAAACGATAATATTGTACAACTTATAATTCATAAACACTGTATACAACGAAAAAAAGAACACCAAATGGAGTATTACAATAAAATATATGCATACACCATAAATGAAACACAATTAGCTTAATTTTTAAAGCCCATACAACATTAAAGATCTGCTTTGAGTATATATTTACCCACTGTCAGAAAATGTTCCCTCATCAATGTCATAAAAACCTGCTTGGCACGATTGTCAATATATACATGTTTATATATAAGCTTTTATATTATTCTACATGAAATGGCCAAATGTTGCTGAATAATATGAGCACAATTAGATTCAGCTGGACTGAGTAACTTGTGTGCTATTCATAACTGACAATGATGCTGTGCTTTAATTTGATCCATCATGCTGATTTTTGCTCGTCATAATCAGAAAAGAATGTAGCAAAATCAATTCTGAGATGGTATTACTGTACTGTATATCATGGCCATTTCATGTACAATGTTGTGACTACATATGCATTAAGGTATTTCTTTAAACATCACACAAGCTGAAAAGTGCCAAAATTATTCATCTAAGAGGACCTGAGGATAAACAAATAAAAAAGAAAAGAAAAAAGCCCTCAGCTACAGGAGAGAAAACCAGTGAGGTGCTCAAATACTTTAAGGCTAAAACGGGATAATGCTACCAAAAGATGGAGGTGACTAACATCAAATATTCACCAAAAATCAACTTTATGAATACTGTGAAAACATTCACCTTGTCATATCAACCTCCAATTTGGCACCGTTCCATTACACAACATTAACGAAAAATGGCAGATGAGGGAATCTCACAAAGGATTTGAAGGAAACCTAATGAGCTACATATTATCCAGCTACACATATGGCAGGTGCTCTGATCTTAATATTTCTGATAGTGCTGGGCAACGATTAATCGAATCCAAAATAAAAGTTTTTGTTTATATATGTGTGTGTACTGTGTATATTCATTATGTATATATAAAGACACACATGTACAGTATATATTTTGAAAATATTTACATGTATTAACATGCATATATTTATATTATATATAAATATATATAATATATAAACATAACATAGTTTTCTTAAATATACACATGCATGAGTGTGTATTTAAATATACATACTAAATATACACAGTACACACACATATATATTATGTACACAAAAACTTTTATTTT